TATATACCATTCATAATGGCATAAAATGCTGGTAACAAGTTTGTTAAGAATAAAAAAATTAATAAATTTGTAGGCATGAAGATAAAATTGTTATTGTTTGATGTAAATGAAAGAGGCTACTCATCTCCTATAATAACAGCACTGATGTTGCAATATTTTGGTCAATGCAGCACTGAAAAGTTCTATGATTATAGAAACACTGTGAACTTTCCCACTGTACAGTATCTATTACATCAAAGAAGAACTGTAGAGAGTGATATGTAAATGTCACAGAATAAATAACTTATGTAACAATAAGAAGTTAACAATTCTCATACTTACATTGTAATTATTGTAAAATAGTATGTTTAGGATGTTGAAATCTACTTCCTATATGATTTTCATTCCATCATTTCTAATATTACAACTGATTTAAGTTTGACAAGACAAGTCTTACAACTATTTATTAGTGTTTTGCTTCGATATTTACACTGCCCAGTTCGTGAAGTGTTATGATACTTGATCTGAAGTGGTAAGTTCACCTAATTGTCACTATGGTTAGAATTATCTGAGATATCATAAATATCATGGCAAATTGTATAAATATGTTTTGCTGCCAACTATATGTTTCAGGCAAAATGCGAAGTGATTCAATGACTAACCTACAAAATTTCAACACTGTCATTTCATTTCCACATACTTTCATTAGAGAAGTGTTTACAGTAATAATCAAGCTAATGCATATCCCACAAGCTATAGGGCAGTCTTGCAAGTAACACTCACAATCATCTCACGAACAGAACCCTGACACAGGTTTATTTTTTAAGATTCCTTCAAATATCGCTTATTTTTCAGTAGTCACAGCCTAGATGTTCCACAAGGGTATGAAGGATTTGGAAACTAAGATAGTTCCCATTTACATAAATAACAAGATGGATTAAAATCAATATATTAAATAAGTAAGCAATTTCAAGGCTTCAGTCCTAACCATACTGTCTAACTTGATTTCCAGTATGGATGTGCCATTTTTCATTGTCATTATTACATTGGCAGGATTTAATATAGAATTTCCTACTCGCTTCAAAATTTTATTGAGACTAATATTTGTGCTCAAGTAGGAATTTTATTTAATATTCATAATAACAACTTTGATAATGAGGGTGCAATGCAAACAATTTATCATTATTTTGGATTGCTTAGTTACTATGGAAGGTTGTGCAGAAGCATGATACGTGAATGTCTAACTTTTTTCCCATTACAGTCTCTATGAGCATTACATTAAAATTTATCAGAGATTATATTTTGAACATATAGAAAAATAATCACATAAGGAGAGATTGAAACATAATCTAATTGTTGTAACCAGTTATAAGAAACACTCTGAAGGCAGTTAGTTGCAGCTCAAGATAAAATGCTAATACCAATAAAATCAAGTGGAACTACTGTTTCAGATTTCATGATTCAATATCTGATTATTCTTCAGTTAATCATTAATTAAAAATATCATTTGTCTAATATATAACAAACTATTACACAGGCCCTAAGGATAGTAATAAATTGTGTTGTTTTGCATAGAGAGTTAGAATAATTTCCACATGACCACTGCCAAAGCAGCAGTGAATTATACAATATCTATGATCCTTAAGATCATCTCATACTAAGGTTCAGCAAAGACACTTTCAGTAGAGACAAATCAAATTGTCTTATATATCACTGATCTTGGGACATCACAACTAAAATATTACACTAGAGATATCATCTGAAACACCACACATCATGTTATGCTAGAAAATAAAACATGATGACAGCAAAGTTGTTTGCCAGTACAATTTCAGTAGTTATCAATTGGCGTCAAGTACTATAACAATGGCCAACAATGTATGGCATTATTAAGCATTTGAAGTAACATTACTTCAGCAAAATTAAGTGCTTTAAGTGTTAGTTGCAGCACTTTCTTCCTACACTGCTGCATGCCTGCTAGAGTATGATTGCTGGACTGTGCTGAATGAAACACCTGGATAGGCCCCAGAAATATAGTACTTACTGGTCTGTCCACCCCTACCTTAAAGTGATTGTGCACTTCAGCATATTAATAGCACTGCATGAAAAAGTTATATACTACATGAAGAATACTATCTTTTGTGAGATGGCACTATGTAGTCCTTTAAAGTCATCTTAAGGGTACAATAAGCCGAACAGATAACAGTGCCTGTATCTTGTTTGGCTTATTTGAGCCTGAAGATGGAGGCAATATGTTCCTCTGAAACGTCGGCTATCTTTCAACAAAATACAAGACGTTATATCCCAGAAGGTAATAGTCTTCATAACCACTGCTATGAGAACATCAAATCATGTGTGTGTGTATATATATATATATATACACACACACACGATTTGAGGTTCTCAAATACGTATATGTACAATTTACATGTTTTGGATTCTGTGCATGCACAACCATACGAGTGCCTTAAACTAATCTATGACATAAAAATCAGTGTTCTTTTTTGAGGCTGGAAGATAAATTATATGGAAATTATCCATGAATTCTATATATTTGAAATATTCGATTTCTCTTCTTCATTTTCATCACTTTTGTTTGAAGATGCATGTAGGCTACCAAGAAAAAACATGAACATGAAAAAATAAATTTGAAATCAGAAAACCAAAATGTTTGTGTTGCTTGCAGGAGTTTATCTGGAAAACAATAATTCTTCATGAAATACTGAGACTAACTTCTTATTTTCGGCCTGAGTCATAGCAAAGGTATTCAAGGCAGATTATGTATTATTAAAGGTGAGAAATGGGCAGCCACATTAGGAAAAGAAGTGATTTTAATGGCGACTAAAGCGACCAAAATTGAGCTAAATATGAATGCACACGAAATTATAATACATTTATAAATACAATTTTATTAATATGGTATAAATAAAATTACTTCCATGCTCATTAAGCAAAAGATCTTGCTTATTAGAGAAATAACAATAGTTTTATCTTCAATATATTGCCATAAAATATGATTCTGTTTCATCCATCCCTGTTTCAAATAGTGAGACAATGTATGTGGCATTTGTTTAATGTGATTAATTACCAGGCCAGTATTATTTAATTACTGCTGTGATAAGTAATTCTTTTCAGTTCATATTGTCATACAAAGTGTTTATCAAGGATAACTAGATGCAAAATATTTTGTAAACTGACAAATAGTGATTACTTTATGAAAAGTTGGTATTGACACTTATATAACTAAAGTCGCAACACTCAAATCCTATTTCACAAGTAGGCCTATCACTCTAAAGAATTCCTACACATTTTCGTTTATTTTATGCTTCATATCTTACAAGCAATTTGAAATAAAATTTGAATCTACTCCATCAAAGATCAAAGTTCTGTAACATACTCTGGACCTCATGGTTAAGAAGCATGTCCACTTATACATGTAAACTCTTCTGCACTTAAACCTGAAGATAGGACTACAATCCTGCATAGTTAATTACTGTATTGCACAATAATATTTTCTTTCATTGGAAGTGAAATGTTTAACTATATACATATGATATATAGTCTGTAATGTTAATTAAATTGCTTGCTGACATATCTTTAAGCATTCCCTATCAAATGTAAAATCAGATCTAAAACATCTCTGATGCTTTAATCATTTTGACTCAAAAAGTTTTTTTTTAATATACATCATAACATACTTTAAATATTAAAGAATAACCAATAAATTTGTGCTCAAAAAGAGCACAAAGACACACTACTATGAATTATATCCAATCCTTAAAAATTCCACCATGAGAAAATAATGTAACTTTGCTCAAAAGATACTAGACTGAAAATTCAATTTTCCACTAAGCAACAGTTGGAGGAAAATAGTTGGCTCACCAGTGAATATATTTAGACTATTGTCTTATAAGAAAAGGTTGTGTCACAGACATCAATTGGCTTACAGTATCCATAATGAATATGTAATGATTTAGTTATTGTTGCATTATAAATAGTTTACATATTACACAAAGACTGACATGTCAATAGTGGAAGTAGGACAAGGAGGCATGTCTTTCCTGTATTGCTCATTTATATAACAAATGTATTATCCAAAGTTCCTATGATCATTTTATTATTTCAGTGTAGTCTGACCAAAGAATGAATGAATGAATCCTCCATCTGCTGCAAATTGTAAATTATGAATGCAATTTTTTAAATTCTTCAGACGTTTGAAGTTAGAAATTAAAAATTAACACCTGTTCTAAGAATATCTTAAAGTTAATTACAGGGTACATAAAGAATTTATTTTATTTATGATGTGTGTTTATAACTTGGCATATATGACTAAACAGTTTTAGTTGAAAAGTGATTGTGTAATTCTCCTTCAGTTTCACTGATTGTAATTTCCAATTAAAAATGCACAATTCAAATAACACAAGTATTTGTCACTTTTCATAAGAATACCATGTCAGATTGTGTTAACATGAAATTTGTGTCAGTTAAAATCTGTAATTTGGAGCACCAGCACAATAGGTTTATTAACAAATTTATGAGAAAGAATGTATGTTTTGACACTATTCATATTAAATGTGTAGACTCCAACCTTATTTTACCATATGTCTCATTTATACAAATATTGGAGAAAATTTTCATCCCTCTAGACAAAGAAATATGAGATTAATATGAAAAGTGAAAATAATGGGTTAGAAGCAAAAGTTGTGAAATGTGTGTAATATGCTATGTTATATACTTTGTAAAAATCTTTCCAATAAATTTTAAATCATGCATTTCTTATTAACAGTGTACCAATTTTTATTAATATAAACATAACTTTGTGTCGGACTTTCCTAATAATTTAGATTTAGTGAATTTTGTTTTTTGTTTTTTTTTCAATATAACTGATACATCTGTAGTGTGCTAACTACAGAGACAGCTGAAATGCTTCTAAATAAATCTCCATTTGTAAGATTTGAGGTTTTCACAGAGGTGACTATTAAGAATGCCATCTCCAGGGATGTGTCAAAGAGGCCCCAGTACCCACTGGGTAGGAGGTTGGGCGGGCCCCAGAGCTGGTCTGGATGACGTGGAGAAGAGAAAATTCTTGACCATACCCCGTAGCCAGTTGCTATACCAACTGCATTATCCTGGCTCTTTGAAAGCTGTGCAGAAACTTTCAGAATTGTTTTTCAAAGGTATTATATATACAATCCCTGTAGTAGTACATTACCACTGGACCCCTTGAACAAGAACACCATTCAATCAAATTAGAATGAAGTTTATGCACAAGAGCCCTGTGGGGGTGGGTCTATATAGGAACAGCAATAGTATTAACAGATACCAGGTTTCTTCTCTCTTCCCCAAACGTAACCTCTTACTTCAGATATTAACAGAAATAATGACCATAAGTGATTAGTTATTAAACGAAAATAAATAATGTGTATACATTTTAGAATCTAACAGTATGTGCAACATAAGGATTTACTGAAAATAGAAAATCATGTCTGGGTAATGTGAAACCCGTTGCTTCATTGCTCACTGCTGTCAGACAGGTATGGGTTTGATATCACTTCCCGCAGGGCTGCAGGCTTTCTCCTCCTGTCACTGGATCGTGCAGAATGGCAATTTTTGTTCCCGTGTCTCTTCCTGTATTGAATCTTCTTTTGGTGAACTTTCGCCTGCAGCCCCATTACCCCCCATGGGTCCACCTCCAGGGGGGCACATTGATTGTCATCTAAGTGCCAGGGTTGATACCATGGGTGGACGAATGGGCTTGTTGTCCAGAATTCTCTCCAGTTCATTCATTGTATTGGTGTTAAGCTTGGGAACCAACTGCAACACAACAGGTGCCTATAGCCTTCATATGCAGTTTACAATAACAGACAGGATCAGATCCTAGGACGGGGTCTGATATTTAATATGCAGGCCTATCAAAAACACAATGGCTGAAAATCATGTAATTTTGTAATTTATCTTTGTATAAAGTGCAAGAAACAGATAATACTGGGGGAGGTTGGGTCCATGTGGTATGTCTGTATGTATTGTAACGTGTTTCATTACTGAAGACGCTGTTCAGATTGTTAATTTGTTTATTTAACAACTTGCAAGTATCGGCTACAATTAATTATAACAAAGTTACGGGTTTACACAATTTACAACCCTACACAATAATCAATTCACACTATCACAATTCACTCGTTACAACTGAACTCGGCGACTACTATAATTCAACTCTCCGCTGGCTAGATTCCAACTCAACTCATAGACTGCTGCCTTGAGAACTGTCTTCGGCGGCTGTGTAGTTCCCTTATAAACGTCAGCCGGACAATGGGAAAACAGTTACATAATAGGCACCACTGTTGTCTGCCACCATGTTTGCCTGTTACGTAATGGGTACCCCTGTTATTACCGTCATCTCTCGCAACCACTGTTTACCCGCTTTGCTTAGCAACCGCTGTTTACTCGCTTTGCTTAGCAACCGGTGTTTACTCGCTTTGGTTAGCGACCAACGTGCTGGGACTCGGCTCACTTCAGCTCTGCTTGGCATGTCACAGCTGGCTGGGAGGGAGGGGCGTCATCCATAGCGCAATACATCACAGTATTATCTTCAAAACGAATTAATGGACTTCAATGAACTTTGAAACATTATGGGCAAGGCAAAAAAATTTTTACTTTGCTCTGAAGTTCGTCAATATATATATATATATATATATATATATATAGCTCATACAAAAATTGATGCAAAACACAAAAAAGATGACCTTAAAACAGAAAAAATTTATGTGAAATTTTGTTCAATACATTGCACATTTAATGATTATCGTGAAAAAAAATGAATATTAGAAATAATTAGTTCTGTAACATTAAAATTCTAACTTGAATAAACCAGCATTCACACCAATGCACAGTAGCAAAGAACACATTTGGAAAATGTATGTACTTCCATATCATGCTTGTCATGAGTCATAAACAATGCCAGTCTTCTAGTGAAAAAATTTACACCCATTTTCCTAGTTTTCAATGTCCGCACTAATAACTTTTGAACAAACAGATGAGTGAAACTCGGTATGAACATTAGACCAGTACATGTTAACTCACCACTGCAAAGCTAACTAGCACCTCTAAATGAAGGCACATCATATGCATGTATGTAACATTCTCAAGAGGGCTTCTTTTTATTCTTAGGGTGGTGTGAGATTGAATCTTTTGGTACTCAGGCTTCAAACAGCCTATTTATTTTATTAGCTCCAGATGACACATGAGAGAAACAAGAGTATTAGGTGCAATGCGAACTGGCAGGGGAAACTCATGTACTCAGAGGAAAACTTCCCCAGTGCTGTTTTGTCTAGAAGAGGACCTTAATAATATAGATATTGCCATCAAGTTTTCCTACTGTATTTTAAAAAGAGATCATTGCGGAGTCCATATAGTAACTGTACACTTAAACATTTGAATTTAATATAAAATTGTAAAAATTAAATGTTGTCATGACCAATGGTATACTTACATGGAAAATAAAGTTATTAATTTTCAGAACTGTATGGGGGACTCTTGTCTGAAAAAATGGACTGCATAAAATACAGAAATTCTAGGGTAGATGCTATGGTGTTCTGATGATGGTGTATAACACTCAGAATTTTTTATACTTTTTCCATCGTCCGGTATTCTAGAGACTAGAAAACGCGATGTTTCGGAAACTGGATCTGTTTCCATTCTCAGGTGAGGGGGAGGATACCTGCTCCCTTATAATGGGCTAACCTCGATCACTTGACCTAAGTTAGCTCTTTCTAAGGGATCCAACTGAGTAGGTGTCTTACCCCCTTACTTTAGGATGGAAACATACCAAGTTTCCAAAACGTTTTTTTTCTAGTCTCTATAATATCAGATGATGGAAAATGTCCAAAACCCCAGTAATTCTGAGAAATTTAGGCGTTAAACATAATGCATAAATACACTTATGCACAAATCTGTCATGCTTATAATCCATTTTTGCTCAGGTATAATTAAAACATTATACCTTTCATTTCTCCTAAGAAATGTGAACCTAAAATATAACATTTATTAGGAAAAATTATGTAAATAAAGATAATCATGTAAATTGATAGAAGTTTAAACATTCCTTGCAACCAATTTATCACTACAGCTACTTCAGTGAGCTGTAAGGTATTAACACTGCTTCTGTGAATGATTACCGATGAATTTTCCTGAGTCCATTTTGTTCCACACTTCTATTGTGCTTTGTCCAAAGTTATGCAACATAATGGAGGAGTGCCTACACGTTTACTAAAAGCTGTAAACAGTCAATAAGAGGATAAAATCTTATATACTGCAGAAATCAATGGCATAAACTGTATTTAGACCAATCAAGGTGTCAAAGGTGTCCAGCATTTAAAAAGGGTATATGGATGCTATACTAATGAAATGGAGACACAACTGGAATCATATGAAGTGATGGAAATCCCAGCATTGATGCATGAAGTGTGTGTAGCTCTATCAATTGGGTCCAACTGAGTAGTTTTTATCTGCAGAATACAGCCTCTGAAACATTGTTTTGAAAAATAAAAAGGACGGCACTTTTAGACAGGATGATGGATAATGTCCAAAAACATAATATTTATACTAATGTACAACTGTCACAGATTTTTAGCTCTTAGTTACATAACCAGTAGGGACCTGGTACATATTCCAAATTTAGACTCAGGATTCAGCTGGCTAAAACTTCCAACCATCTCACTTTCCTCATGAAATGCAGGACTCATGATTTATTATCAAAAAGGCTTCACATTTAAGCTCCATATCACAGTTACTGTTCTTCTACAGAGCAGCCCAGGTTTGATCCCAAGGTAACTGTGACTTTCTTATGTCCAATGTTACAGGTGGTAATGATGCCATCCTCAGTGAGGTTGGCTGAACCACGGCTGTTGTTTTGGGGGGATGCCTGATGGACCAGGGATGCGTTGGGACACAGCTTTGGGACACCTCCTTGTGGTCCCGCCGAGCAATGACAGTCTCGGGGTCTGGATCAGTATGACCTTCCGGGACTGGTGGCTGAGTTGCCATAAAGTGCAATGGCATTATGACCAGAGCCTCCCACACGGCGGCATAATGACTCTTGGGTATCACTACGATGTACCCGGGATGAATGCGGGAGAGCACTCCCATGGGATAGCTTTGTCTATTTGAGTTGTCTCCCTGGAATACCGACAAGGTGTCACAAGCCTTAGGGCTCAACACTCTAAAACGGTTTGACCAACCCAAGTGGAGGGGTGGGAATAGGGGAGCTCATAAGCAACCCCCAGGAGCGACTCTCTTGTGTAGGTTGCCCTGGTCGCAACCTCATGACTAACTGGTGTCGAACTCCCATTAATCACCTGGGATACCCCTCTCCCCCCAAACAGGCACTCTAGGTCCTGGAGGCTTTTGAGGGTCTTATTCATAACAGGACCAGATCACCTAAGCCAAGGTGTGAGGCATCGTGCTGAGAGCTGCATGGCACTCGGTTGGTAATTAGCCAGTGTCTTTAGCGATCCTCTCGGGGCACCAGGCAGCACCCCGTTTATTTATGCCTTCCATCCGTATGGGGTGCTGCGGGTGGTCTTTATTTATGTGTTGCAAATACAGTAAATACAATAATCTTTAGAGGATATAATTAATTGTAGTTTCAACTGGTGAGCCTCCAATAAATCAATTCACCAATCCAAACCCTGTCTACACTAGTACACTAAGTAGTATTGTATTTGTATTAGTAACTAATACACACGACAATAATGATGATGATGCTGATGATGCCGATCATGGAGCTGATGATGATATTACAAAAACAACAACAAGAATAAAAATAATAGAAATTTGTATAACCGCAACATTTAAAAATTTTATATAACTTGCATAAAATTGTATGATCATTTGAACTCACTTGCAGACTCTGTATGCTTTCATATAGCTGCTCGACAGAGGTGGCACCCAACAGCAGGCACTGAACACTCTCATTTTTGAGGCACCATGCAATAGCGAGCTGAGACACTGTACAGCCCAGCTTATCTGCCAACTGGGAGATATCACGTAGCTTCTCCTGTTGCCGTCTTGTTTCCTCTGGCTGCAGCCTTTCCTTCAGCCATGTGTAACCCTGAAGGGACAATACAGTTATTTATGCTTCCAGCTGAGATCAGCATACAGTGAACAAGTTTCATCCAAATAACTCCACATGGAATTATTTGGAACTCAGCAACCAGAAACAAACACTGTGAGCTACAAGAAAATAAAGGCCACGCCATAACTCAAGCAGTTAGTCGATGGCTTCCCATCGCGGCAGCCCAGGTTTCATCCTGGGTCTTGTCAAGTGGGATTTGTGGTGGGCAAAGTGGCGCTGCCAAACTTCATTCAACCAAATTCTCCATCATCATAATCACCTGGGGCAGGTTACAATAGGCCAATCAGTGGCCGCCGTGCTGAGTGGACCCAGTTGGACTCAACCGCCCACTAAGCAAATTAAAAAAAGAATACAAGCAAGTAAAACATGCTCTCAAAGTTGGTATAGATCCTTGAAATTATTTTCACTTTTCTTTTCCCAGTGACTGCATCCTGTTGTGTATCATATATTTCTTTTATTGAAAGCCGTCACAGCATAACAATTAATAATATATTTTTTTAGTGTCAAGTTCTTTTCACATTTGCATCTTCTAAACAGTCAGCTGCAGAGAAATATATAAAAGAATGCAACTGTTCCAGATGAAGTTGATAATCTTTTTTAATTTACAATAATAGCCATAAGATACTTTCAAGCATTTGTTTATGAGTTGTATCTTCTAACAGTTGTTATATTTTCAATAGTGCCTAACTGAACTCATTTAGTAACAAAAGATATTTTTATCTAAAGCACAATTTTCTTGTTTAAGAGATTTCGTCTGATGAAAGCAGATGACAGATACTGGGTACCATGTTGACAAATTTGCTGACAGGATAGCACAAAGAGAGAGCTTTTAGTACCTTGACGAGTTCATGGCTCCAAGCTTCACGGCGACCGGCGTGTATGAGGTGCATAAGAATTTTGCCGATGAATCAGCTGATAACATTTGGAATGAAGGGAAATAATTAACTTGTTAACCGCTTGATGGTATTATGTTTCACAGAAAGCAGTGTAGTTCATGTGTGAGTTTGTTTATGGTTTGTCAGCAGTAGTCAGCAGTTATCTAAAGGGTATCACTGCTATCAACTTCATACAAAATTTTGTCCAATATTCTTCTCTCAAGGTTAAGTCCATAAACAGATTAAATTATTCTGGATCATCGGGGTGGGTTTCGACATAACAGATCAACTACAGATCAAATCTTTTTCATTCGTCAAATCTTGGATAAAAAATGAATATGCCATTAGGAAGGTCCAGGAAAACCAGGTGGGACTGAAATAAATGGGACACATTAGCTATTGGTATATGCCGATGATGTGAATCTACTGGGTGATAATATAGATACTATAAAGAGAAACACAGAAACTTTAATGAGGTTGGTCTAGATGTAAACACAAAGAAAACTAAGTATATGTTGTTGTCTCATCACCAAAATGCAGGGCAAAACCATGACATAAATAGAGGTAGCAGATGTTTTGAAAATGTGGCACAGTTCAGATATGTGCAAGTGACTATAACAAATCAAAACCTAATTCAGGGGGAAATTAAGAGGAGATGGAACTCAGGCAATGCTTGCTATCATTCAGTACAAAACCTTTTGTCATCCTGTCTTCTGTCTAAAGACATAAATATTAGAATATACAAAACTATAATTTTGCCTGTGGTTCTGTATGGGTGTAAAACTTGGTCTCTGACATTAAGGGAGGAACATAGACTGAGCATGTTTAAGAAGAGGGTGTTGAGAAGAATATCTGGACCAAAGAGATATGAAGTGACAGGAGATTGGAGAAAACTGCATAATGAGGAGCTTCATAACTTGTATTCTTCTCCAAGTATAATTAAAATAATGAAGTCACAAAGTATGAGGTGGGCAGGGAATGTAGCACGAAGGGAGGAGAAGGGGAAAAAGCCAGAAGGAAGGAGACAACTGGGAAGTCCAAGGCAGAGATGGGTGAACAATATTAAAATGGATCTTAGAAAGATAGGATGAGATGGTATGGATTTGATTGGTCTGGCTCAGGATAGGGACCAGTGGAGGGCTCTTTTGAACACAGTAATGAACCTTCGGGTTCCATAAAATGCTGGGAAATTCTTGAGTAGCTGCAGATTTGGCAGCTCCTCAAGAAGGGCTCAGCTCCATTAGTAAGTAAGTGAAGACCGCACCATAGCTCAAGCAGTTAGTCACTGGCTTCCCACCAAGGCGGCCCGGGTTTGATCAAGTCAGGTCAAGTGGAATTTGTGGTGGACAAAGTGGCACTGGGCCGGGTTTTCTCCAAGTACTTCGGTTTCCCTTACCAATCTTCATTCCACCAAATTCTCCATCATCATAATCACCTGGGGCAGGCTACAATAGGCCAATCAGTGGCCACCATGCCGAGTGAACCCAGTTGGACTCCACCCCCCATTAAGCGAATTTAAAAAAAAAAGTAAGTAAGGCAGCAGTTATCAGCTCCATTAGTCATGTGTTCTTAGTCACAGTTAATGAGCATTATGGTGCGGCATACTTTAGAGCAACCTGTACTTCTGTATGACACGTATGTGAAATATGGAAATACCAGAAAATGTCAGCGAAAATTTCAACATAAATTTCGTGATGAAAGAGTTCCAAGCATAAAAACAATTCACCATTTGCTGAATAAACTTAGAACAATGGGACTCCTAATAGACAAGAAACAAAAACACGAGTGAAGGGTGCTTACTGACGAGAAGTTAGATGACTTAAGGGTCAGACTTGAATATACACCTGGAAAATCACTGAAACATCTAGCTAAAGAGAGCTAGTCAAAGTCTAGTGCAAGAATGGCAACACAGCTGCTGAAGCCATCCAGTGGAAGTTGGTGTCTGGTATGCTGTATGTGTAAGGATTGTTGTTCCTGTTTTCTTCAATCAAACAATTAATTGCAAAAAAATATCTATGTGTAGAAAGGACAGAATTTTCAACACCTCCTGTGATCTGTGAATTGTGACTAATTCATTCCAAATGTTATCGCCCATCAGGCATGCTGATTCATTGTAAACATTTGCATGTTCCTCACAGCAAGTAGCACACTGATCGCTGTGAAACCCAGAGCCTTGAAATACTCTAGTTACTGTGAAACCTCCCTGTACTACAAAATACCTCTGATCAATGTAGTTAACATTAGGATTTTATGCGAGTTTCTGAGCATTAGAGGAGAGAGTTTATCACTATCATGTTAGGTGATACACCCCTTAGCTTAAACTTAGCTTACTTTTCTACTTTTATATATTTTAGTACTATATGGATCATGTAAGCTTTCAATGTTTTCGGCCATCCCGCCTTTATATCTCGATATCTCTATATATTGTGACAGAAGTCTGAAATCCAGAAGCCTCAGAATTCTGGAACAACAGTATTGCTGAATCAACATTACAGCATCTGGGCAACTAGGACAAGGAAAAGCCAGAAGGTTGGACCCAACTTCTATTCACTCTGTGAAAATGGAGTGCTGAAAAACCAAGACATAAGAGCCAAGTGGCTAATTGCAAATGGCTGTGAATGGGTTAAATGCAATTGTTTTCAGGGGCCATTGCCAATTTTTGAACACACGGGTTTGGGAATGAACAAGTAGTATGGCTTTTGTGTATTTGGCCCTGAAACCATAACGGACATAAAACGTATTCCAATATGTACTAAAACATTTGTTCAAAATATTTTTCTCTCTGATAAATATTTAGCAAGACAGGTGTAGAATTGCACATTGGTCTCAAAGTAAAGATTAGAATGACTTAAAATTTTTCATAGAATTCTCAAAAGTTTGTAAAAGAGAACTCTGATCAGCAGTTCAAGAATTGTTTCATGAACATGAATGGAATGTTTGATCTCAACAGGTGCGCTGTGGGTTTGGGAATGCATTACACAAACAACAGGTGCTGCCTCAGTTAGGCAGCAAAAAAATGAATTACTTAACAACAGATTATATTATTGCACATACAAAATGTAATACAAACTTTAACAGTCACAAGACCAGGCTCTGCTTTTCTCAGTAAAAAAATGATTGGGGAATCTTGGTTCCCAGGATTAACGTTGAAAATATTAGCCGATTTCATCTAGTTCATAAGTACGAAGGGCGCTCCATATATGATGCCTCCTCTTTCTTTGTGTTAATCTATAACATCTGAGCTGGATGTTGGTGGTGTTGTAGTAAAGGTTGAACCTTCCCATCAATGTACTCTTAGTTTGGTTGTCATACAAGAGATAGCGACAGCAGAGCACTCTACCAAAATGGCGTCTGACATAGAAGTGCGTACGAAACAGAGATCTGCTATTGAATTTCTCACAGCCAAACAAATTTCACCCACTGACATCCATCGATGCTTGTTAAAGGTGTACAGAGATGATACAGTGGATGTCAGCATAGTGAGGCGGTGGGTAGTGCATTTCAACAGTGGCAAAAGTGAAGTGCACGACAAACCACGCCCTGGGCGCCCCTTGCTCAGCTGCCACTTCTCACAATGAACAGCATCTCGATCAGCTCATCCATACAGATCGGCAGATAACGCCAAGGGAACTGTGTGCACAGCTTAATATCGGCTTTAATGCATTGGAAACAATGTTGGGGAAGCTGGATTATCGCGAAGTTTGTTCCAGGTGGGTCCCACGGATGCTTACATAGGACCACAAAACTCGTGCAATTGAAGTCTGTCAGGACCTGTTGCACCAGTTTGAGGAGAAGGTGACAAGTTTCTGGACAGCATCATCATCGGAGATGAGACGTGATGTCACCACTATGAGCCAGAATCCAAAGGACAGTCCATGGAGTGGTGACATCCGGATTCCCCAAGAAAAAAGAAGTTCAAGACACAGACATCGGCAGGGAAAGTGATGAGCATGGTCTTTTGGGATAGGCAGGGTGTGATTTTATTGGATTTCCTGGAGCCTGGTGAGACTGTCAATTCTCAACGCTACAAGGCGATGATGACTAAGCTGAAAGCCCGCATTTCCCGAGTCAGGCCAGAGAAGCAGACAACATTTCGCATTCAACATGATAACGCTAGACCCCATACCAGTTTGACTGGACTGTCCTACCACATCCACCTTATAGACCCGATTTAACACCGTCCGACTTCCATCTCTTTGGGCCTATGAAAGATGGACTACATGGGCAACATTTTCCAGACAACGATGCTGTCATTGCAGCTGTAAGAAAGTGGCTAGCCTCTGCTGGCGCAGACTTTTACAGGCGCGGCATACAGGCTCTTGTTCATTCCTGTCAAAAGTGCATAACGAATGGTGGTGATCATGTGAAAAATTAACTGTAAGTAACTGAAATCTTGCTCTATTTAACTGTGTTGCTATGCTTTCTGTATCTGTTGTAGTTTTCATTAAAAAAATAGGAGGCATTATATACAGAATGCTCCTCGTATCTTCGGGTATTTTATCCGCATTAAAAACGTTGGATAATGTTGTAGCATTTGTACAGGGGGTCTGTATCAAATGTTCCAACCATCGTTTGCTAGGCAATGTTTCTGTAAACACCGCCTGAAAGCTGGAATAGCAATGAACAAGCAGAAGTCCGTTTGCTAAGCAACGGCTCGCTCAAACTCATTCTCATGTCAACAAAGATTCAGCAAAGCTTTCCATGGATATGAGGAATCTTGAGATCACCAAGCGTTTCAACTACAACAGATACAGGAGACCAATAGCTTCTATTCGGTCCTCCCAAACTTATAAAAGAGAGTTCATTCGTGAATTCAATTCATTCATTCATACTAGAATTCAGAAAGCACTTCAATAGTTGAACATTCAGCTGTGAAGTGTTAACCAGTCAAGATTCATCATCAAGGAACAACTAGCAAGAAAATATTGAAGACTTTATTTTGTGTGCTGTAGTTACAGTAATCTATAGAGTGTTACAATTCAGCAGATATTTTTTTATGTTTCTCTATATTCATGCTGTCGCTCGGCATTTAACTTTGTTCATTTGAGTACGTTATTACAATTACCTTCTTCTAACCACTTCCTTTTCCTGTACTCTTTCATATATGCAACGCAACTATTACTAGAGGACATCTTACAAGTGTGTGACATCATACACTGGCAGCTCGCCTATAGTATTGTGTCATCCACTGAACAGTGGAATTGACTTAGCCATATTTGTTAAAAATAAATGGTCATAACTACTAAACCGTAAGTGATGGAACAAAATGGGTTAAATTTTTTTTCAAGCTCGCATTTATAAACGTATTTCACTCACAATATGATAAGATCCATCTATGTGTTTGGCTGAGCGCATTTCCAAGGTAACGAAGTCAACAGTAGATCTTCAGTTGCTTAGTAGTGAAGGTATCAATAATCACAAATTGTTAAACTTTCTGTTACTTACAGGCAAATCGTTACATTTTCTGTTACTTTTGGCTTCACTGTGTTTTCGCCCTTGTATAATAATATTTTCAACGTTAAAATTAAAATGTTATACAATCTGACTTATTCGAGTTCCTCTCACTTACCTCTTTGTTGGCAGGCTGTGTTTCATCTTCTGTCCAGCTAAATGACGAGTATTTGTTCTGAAAGAAATGAAGGGACACTTACTGGCATACAAACAGAAGAGAATAACACCACTGACTATCCTACCGCTACAACCCAAGATCTACAGGGCTACTGCAGAAGCTCCTTGGTTTCACCCCTATTTCTTGAGTGTATCTGTGGTTGTGCGATGAGGAGAGCGTCAAACTATACGTTATGCAATTCATCCAACACATTTCTTTTGAAAGCAGTCAGTGTATCACCTCCATGCCAGTTTAGTTACCACGACATCTGTAAAGTTAATGTTTCAAAACCCTTACCAGACAAAAGAGTTGAATTCTTGGCAAGGCAGTGTAATTAATGTAGTTTATTTAACATCTATAATAATTATAGTATCATTTACAAAATTTATTGTGATGATATGAAAGAACACAAGAGAAATTTGATTTTAATTTATTAATCATTAAATTCATTGAGTAGTTAATTAGTGTCTTTATGAAAGATTGATTTGTTGCATTATAGACAGAAAAGTTATGATCGAAAAATTATATCACAATATGCTAGGTAGTTTCAGGAGCAATATTTCATATTACTGTATACTTACTATAACAAATCAAAAAATAAATAATTTTATCCAGCAAAAGCGAGAAACACATTACAAAGCAGCATAAAAGTTTTACAGGTATTTCAGTTCTATATTTTTATACTTTAAAATAAAGCTGTAAATATAATTTTGTAGCGAGTGACAGTCTTGGTGAAAGCAAATCCATCCCCCAGCATCTTCATATTTAAAGTTAACAATATGTTGCTTCTTACAACTTAATCGAAGTTTCCAAGAAAATATAAAACAAAGCCTACCCCTTTCTGAAGATCTTCGGATGTAGGGTAGAACAACAAAAATTGGAGTCGCTTGTTCTGCTCTATACGTTTTAATCCATCAGAGCTTATCATTTGTTCTCTGTTTCAGAGATTATAGTGATTGCACTATAAGCTGGATAACTGACCTTCAGTTCCTGGTAGGTAAAAAAAGGCAAAGCTATCCCCATAACAGACCGTGAAGGCCCATAGGATTGTGAGATGTCCAGACTCCCACATTTCTCTAGACAATCAGCTCACAGATGGCGGTAAGTTTGTCTGGCAGGGTCAAGGATTTTTCTCTTCAGACACTAGCTCTGGAACCCACCTCCCCTCTTATTAAGTGGTCCTTTCCCTAAAGGTAAAGAGGCCAGAGCATAAACCTGACCACTTATTTTCACAAATAAAGATACTAAGAATGTATGAAATATACTTCCACTCCCCATAAGGCACAGGCACAGCTTCACATTTTTTCTTACATAAAGATGATAACCTGAATTCAAATCATAAAATGTGAATTTGAACTGCATAACTCATAATTTAAAAAATGATGACAGAGTGAGAAACTGTGTTCATAATATCTGGCTGGAAATGAAAAGCACTGTATATCAGAGGCATGACATGGAGGTGAACAAGTCTGGCCCAGTGACCAAGACCAGCTACTTCAAATGGTCCCAACTAAACATAATTCTTGATCCTGACACCTGATGATGGCAGTACATCCAGCTTGCTAAACACGGTGTGTTTTAAATATACAAAAAAACGTGATGGACAACGTCCAACAGTATATTAGAAAACAATCCCGTGGCATTTGCATTTGTTGGAAATTCAGTGGAACTGGCCTCTGGAACCAACATCTGAGATGGTTTAATTATTTGCATCCCAGCCCATTCGTTGCCACTGTGCAATGCCAGAGACCCACATGCAAGAGTATTGGGTTTCATTTTGCTTTTCATCCCACAAGATGAATGCTGAGGAAATAAAGGAAACAAAAGAATGGAAAGATAGTAGGATAGTAATGAATATGAGAATAATGTGACAAAGAAACATGCTAGGAAGGAAGGAAGGGAAATTTATGTAGAGAAGACAAAATTAAAACTCAATAAGAATAAATGCAATTAAAATTAAAATTGAAGGAGATTAATACTAATGCAGATGTATTTAAAAGCGAGAAAAAACGATGCTAAGGAAAAGGACAAGAGAGATAACTGATAAGTGGACTGAAGGAAAAGCAGGAAGAATGAAATAAGTAACAGACAGATACATAGAGTGAGAAGTTGGAAGATATGTATATAAACTCCAGCAAAAATATAGCTGCATGGTGGCATAATTAACAGGAAATTACTCCAAGTTGGACACACCTTGAAAGATGACCGTGCAAACAAAGGAACTCCATCCTCCAACTTTCCCGAGACAAGGCCCATAGTGAGCGGAGACCATGCCATCAGGCCAACACCTGTGCAAAGGCAATTAATCATCATCACCAGCTGAAATCTTGGGTCATGAATTAAGTTTTCTGCTGCATAAAAACCATGCTTTATACATATCACCCCAGAAATTACACCATTCATGAATACACAGCTTCCATTATTAATTTTTAACCAAGTGGTATATTTTGATGGGTAAGGTACATCCAATTATTTGGGTGACAGTGACTTATTTCATCAACTAAGTCCTTGAGAGGTACACAGTTACCCAGATCATCAAGAATTCCCAGACTTCTATACAGTGCGATGGCCCACCACTGGTGCAGGTTTCAAATTTTCTTACTACAATCTTACACGCAGATCTTTCATCTCCTCCATGCTTGGCTACATGTCTCATTCATGTCCCCCTCCTTGACTTAGTGAGCAAAATAAAATGGAGATTTTCAAGGGGTTGATCCAGAAGTAAGTGCAGCTACAGGCCATGCCATAGCTCAAGTGGTTAGACGCTGACTTCCCACCACGGCAGCCCGGGTTCGATCCCAGGTCTCGTCAAGTGGGATTTGTGGTGGACAAAGTGGCACTAGAGCGGGTTTTCTCCGAGTACTTCGGTTTCCCCTGCCAATCTTTATTCCACCAAATTCTCCATTATCATAGTTGCCCAGGACAGGTACAATAGGACAATCAGTGGCCGCTGTGCCAAGTGGACCCAGCTGGGCTCCACCCCCCACTAACGAAGTGCAGCTACAAAGCAGTACATTCTCATGTTTTGTCACTGAAATTCAGGAAATATTTAAATTTTTACATATGCTACTGTAAGCATTTTCTGCTCATCAAAATTGTAAGTGAATGGACAAACCTGGAGACATTCGGTTATGGAACCTAATGTTTGTGTATATCCCTCCCCATAGGGATATGAATGTGTTAAAGGTGCCAGAATCCACTAATGTGTAGAATGTATAACTTGAATAATCTGCACAGAATTACTTTTCCCATTGTCCAGAATTCTAGGTAATAGAGGACACAACATTTCCGAAACTGGATCTGTTTCCATCTTCAGGTGGGCCCCTTAGAAAGGGTCAATCTCAATCACTCAATCAATCAATCAATCATCCAGTGATTGAAATTAGCTCTAAGGGGCCCAACTGATTAGGTGTCTTCCTTTCTCACCTTAAGATGGAAACAGATCCAGTTTACGAAACGTCATGTCCTCTATTACCTAGAATTCTGGACAATGGAAAAAATCCAAAAACCCCAGTAATTCTGCGTGTCATCCATCATCGTCAGAACCCTTTAGAATCTACCTGAATAATCTGTCCTGAGAGCAAATGATGTATCGGTAGATAAGGAAGTGATGGACTGTATAGGGGATTCACCACTGGAATCCAGTGATCCTAGGAATGATACACGTTTTCCTTTATGCTTACAGTAATTACACTGGTCTATGTATGTATGTTTGTATGTATGTATGTATTTATTATGAGAGGGGGTGGATTTCCCCATGCACTTAGACCAGTTATTGGTACATTGTGCGTCCCCCTTTAATTTCTACTGTCTCCATACCCTACCGGTAACAGTGCGTGCCATCAGCCCCCGTAGAGCCAATGAGGTCGGCCCCCGGTACCTTGATGCTTCCCCCATCCACCAGAGGCATTGGAGACTACTTGGGCGGGAAAGGGCCTGTAATTTAGCTCAGAAGTCCCCTAAAGACATGACGTTCTTTTACATGCCGTAAATCTACAACACGGGACACACGGCTTAAAGTCCCTCCCAGAGGACTTGTTCCCTGAATTTTTCCGCCCTTAAAAATTCCACGACCTCCGCCGGGTTTGAACCCACGTACCTTGAGTCATGAGGTGGGAACGTTACCCCTAGACTATGGAGGCCGCTTTACACTAGTCTATGTTCTTTGTATAATGTTCTTGCTATGCAGTTAATTACATTGTTTTATCACCATAATGTCCTACGATCTAGAACTATCACCTTGACTAACTGAGGTGTACTGATGCCTTGATCTTGCATAGCCATTGGCTGAGGGCATGACCTTAAGCACTGTTTCCTAGAAGCAGTCAGCTCTATTCCATCTCTACACACCATTTACAGAGGTGTTCTACTGGTCTCACTTTTACACCATTTTAATCCTCAGTACATACCAAAGCTGACAGTCTGCTCATTTATAAAGATTAAATTGCCATGATCTTCATGCCAGTTTGGTTTAGTTCACACTTGTACACTACTGCACTCTTTTTGCACTTGCTAACTTGTGTCTGAGAGTTAGGAGCCCACTACTTGGTTTTCATTGCATTGTTTTACCACATATGAACCTGTTCACCATTCCTAAGTGCAGACTCAACTTACTCTCTTGAGGCCAATGGCCTCCATTTTATGACTGTAGACTTTATAAAATTACCCAGTGACTCTGTAAGTGGATTAGGCGCTTTGTATTGTTAGAAGACCCAGGGAGATACTGTGGCAATGCATGCACACAAGCTGGCAGGTGACTAGTCTCTTTCCCTGCTCTCAGTCTGTGCAATGCTAATCCCTTCCTCAAGGGTGCACATCCTGAGTATCCACTAGACACAGTGCCAGTCCCAGGGCACCAACATCTTCTTTGACCTGGAATGATGCTGAATGCTGTACACTGCCTCCTTGTTCTGGGTGATGGCCTAGTAAGGGGCATTCAGGACGGCAGCAGCTAAGGTCAGGCAGCATAATCAGACCTTCTCTCCTTTATACAAGAAAGCAGAGTTGGCTAGGAGGTTATAGCAGGCCTTCATCCTGTCACTGGCAACTTTCAGATGTTGATGGGCATAATAAAGGGTGGCATGCAGCCATGAACAAGGTCCACCATGTAGTCACAGGGCGGGCGCAGCTCATTCCTGAACACCATGCCGGCATGTTGCTTTTTCGGTTGATGCTCTGCAGGAAGAGGGGTCGCCCCTCATTCCAATCTCTCTGGCGTGTCAGAACGACCTTCCTCAAGTGGTCCACCACTATGTTAACGTAGTATTCCACCATGCCTCCTGACTGTGGATGCATTTGTGCATTATGGGGCACTGTTACATATCCTGCTTGATCCCAGACTCAATGTTCTGACCTTGGTCACTGTGCAATTCCCTCTGAACCCCTAAGTGGCAGAAGGAGTTCATCACCAGAACATCAACCACAGTCAATGCCTCCTGGTTAGGGAATGTGTTGACCTCTGAGCACTTGGTGAAATAGTCCATGGCAATCAGGAGATAATGATTTCTCTCTGGCTTGGCAATGTCAATGGTGATCCATCTTTAATGGTGCATAGATGTTATGCTAGTGTATCAGACACCGGCCTCAGGCTCAAGGGCCTCGGCCTGCCACTCAATTGTCATATAGCTGGCACATGTGTAGGCAGAAATAGTGTAGTCTCACGTTGCCCTCAGTTTCATTTATGATCAAGATGTCCTCCTAAAAATCCTCCATAAGGGTTTTCAAATAATTCTTGCAGTTTCTGCCAGGGTATGACTATTTGGCAATCTTGGACTTCTGTCAGCTGATTCAGTGATGCTCTAGCGTGCAGTCAGTCATAAACAATGAATATCCTTCCACACAGGGTACTCTCCAGGTCACATCACCTATAGAATCAGCCAGATATCATTGTTATCCAGTTGCTAGCTCAGCTAGGGTAGTGATAAGTAAGCCATGATGCTGACCACTCACCTCCAACTTGGGACAAAGTTTAGAATGCATGGAGCTATACTTCTGTTTCCTCATATGGCATCATGGTGTGGTGCTTAATTAAGAACGGTGACAACTTTACATTTACCAAACAGACTAGATGAAGACAGGAAACTGCAGGAATTTTTAGGAAGTGTGGGAACATCCCACATATCACGCTATTTCTACAGCGCTCACTTTTCACCATCACGCGCGCTAACCAATCAAATTGCTTCCAACGTCCACATTTATATAGCGCTTGCTGCTAGCCCGCATCCACATCATCACACATGCTAGCCAACCAGTGCTCAGCAAATTTTCGCTCCGCCATCACACATTGTATAAAAGGCAGAGCACAAGCTCGCAAGTCATCAGTTCCAGTCAGTCTACGATCAGCAGTCTTCAAGAAGTCTACAAGCAATCAGCACACTTCGTTGCCAGCACTTGGTCTTCGGAGGCACTGGCGCTTCGCTGTGCCAGGCACGACTGCCACGGCTGTCTGGCAGTCACACCCGACTCACTGGGCAACTCAGCCACCTCAATTCGCCGGTAGTCATGCCCGACACACTGGCCACTGGCGTAGCTACCGCCTCTCCACTCCTGCAACCGCGCTCGGCAAGCAAACCTTTTCCAGCAACCAAGCAACCTCAAGCAACGGCTGCACTGCGGCCAGTCGACTGACTCAGTCGCCTCAACACACCGCAACCAACATCCCTTCCTAACGGCGCGTGCCGTGCTACCTCACCGGTCAAGCATCTCAGCAACCAACAGTCCTTTTCAGGACCTACAAACTTTTCCGAAGAAGTGCGTTGTCATTCGAGTAACGACAAAAAACCCCACAGAAGTATTTACTTTCTTACTGTACAGTCCTTCATCAGGACTTGTCTGCAGTTCTAGTCAGTGTCATTATGATGCAGTCTATTTATATCTACTGATTTGGAAAACAGAAACAGGTAGCAGTTATGACGTGGAGCATTAGATTGAAGTTAAGTTTTCCAGACACAACCTCAAAGAATAGAACTGGCAAAATATTTGTAATTGTTTACATGTAAGCAGTATCATACACATACTCCTTACCCAGGTTTTTAATGTTAATATAGAATTGCTGGAATATAGAGGCACAACATTTGAAATGTAGGTTTTTCCAAATATTTAACACCAGACCAGTGGAAGAAATCAATTAATATGCATAAACAGGCCCTAAAATATGTGTACAAACTACACAGGAACTGAACACCCACATACTGTTTCCAGACTGGCTGCTAACATTTTTGGACAGCAAGTAATATCTGTAAAACTTGTCTTGGAATAAAAGCTGTGTTGATTTAGTTGAGGAAGGAATGCATGAGAATTTGTCTTTTACATACATTAAGTGAAGAACACAGGTTAAGGTTGTTCAAGAAAAGAGTGCCGAGGAGAATTTGGATGTAAAAGGAAGATGTAACATGAGGTTGGAGAAGATTGTATAATGAGGAACACCATAAATTGTACTCTTTGTCAAGTTTTGCCAGAATGCTCAAACGAAGTAGGTTGAGATGGGGTGTCATGAAGAAAGCACAGGAGAGATGAAAAATGCATGCAGGTTTTTGGAAGAAACTAAGAGAGAAAGAGACCACTTGAAAGATCTGAGCAAAGATAGGAGATGCAACGAAATAGAATCTGAAAGAAATACAGATGGAATGGTGAAAACTGGATTAACTTAGCTGACAATAGGGACAAGTGACAGGCTCATAAAAATTATAAAGAACTCCATAAAAGGTTGGGAATTTCTTCACTATATGAGGGACTAGAAAAAATGGTATTATAGCACATTTTAATTCGAGACTATTTTGTGTTTAGTAGTACCATAGAACACTGAATGGACTTGCCAATCTTGTTGTACAGTTCTGGCATGTAAAGCTCCGTCTTCTCACGACAAAACATGTGGTACTCCGATTGCTCTGAGATGGGTGTCACACAATTGAACTGTCTGCAGTTGGTGTATGCCTCCATTACTTCGACAGGCGTCCATCGTGCTGTGCCCCAGTACATGGCCCAGCCCTGGCTGATCACATGATTCATTGCCCGGACCACCTCTGCAATAAAGTAAAATATATTAAACTCTGAAGAAAGCAGACTTCTGGGATTTGGCACTGTGTATATGTGGTGTTAACCGACGTTTTGGAGGAACGTAGCACCTCCATCTTCAGGGTAGAAGGAAAAAAATATAAGAAATCCGCAAGCTAAGAGACCGTGAGAACCGGTAAAAGCAGACTTATGGTGCAGTTCGATTGGCAACAGCAATTCTTACAATAAATGTGAAGCTGTATTGTTTAGAACAAAGAAGTGCAGAACTCTGACCTTCCATTGGGCACATGGGATCTGCCTTGTGCACAATGACAACATCGATATAACCCAGTTGGAGTCGCGCCAAGGATGCCTGCACTGACTCGATGACATGTTTGCGGGACAGACCTCGCTCATCAGATCTGTAAGAAAAATGGTAGCTATTAATTTGTCATAAGATGTCCCCCCCCCCAAAAAACAGAGCTGGAATAGTGATTTTATAAAATTGCTGTTATTATTATTCTTTAAATATTTGTATGTATAGGTCGGGGGTTTCTAAAATGTATGCTACAGAAACGGGAAACTTCAGGGTGATTGTATAAATGGGGGACTGTCTTACATAAAGGACGAAATCTGGTGTGTGGAAACAAGAACATAATATGTAAGGGATGAGTATCTCTGAGCAATGCAACAAAGACCACATTCTGTTATATTGGGAACTTGAGAAAAAATTCTGACTCTGAGCTTGAGAGCAGCAGAGCAACATTTGTTTTGTTGTGAAGTATGAGTATAAGCCTCTTGCCAGGATTTCATTAATGAATTAGTACTGAGTAGGACAGTATATTAGGACTTTTCAGAAAATATGAAATTACCTATAGTGGGGAATTAGGTTGTATGAGGTAAATGATCTCAAAACTCTGATTTCAGGGAACATCTATACTTCGGATTTTTGCTTGTTGTGGGCCCAAAAGAGCCTTAGTACAAAGAAATGGTTCATAAATTACAATCCTGCCAATTCAGGTGGGAAGTGAAGTGTAGAAAATAAAGGTCAATGATTCCATAATACTTGCCAGAGAACTGCATTCATTGTTTCTTAAAAAATCAGCAATTATATGAGATATTAATTTCTCATCACAGAAGCATGAAACTGGAAAATTTTCAGACTAAAGAGATAGGTCTGTAGTTATTAACCACAGAGATGCTACCTTTCTTAAAGTTTGGAACAGCAGCCTGTTTCCATAAGGTTGGGAATATCTCACTAGTTACATTGAGGGTCTTTCTTTATTGCTAGTGGGGTGGGACTAAGTCCCTTGTACTGCAGCCACTTCTGGCCTATTGTACCAGCCCCAGATGATAGGTGAGGGTGATTGTGGAGCAATTGGTGGAATGAAGATTGGCAGGGGAAGTACTCGAAGAAAACCTGCCCCAGTGCCACTTTGTCCACCACACATCCCATTTGACCAGACCTCAGGAGGCTTTTTTTAAAGCATGGTATAATATTGGCATATTTCAACCAATCTGGATAAATTCTAGTGGTTAGGGATAGATTAAAAGCATGCATAAGTGGTTTAGTTATTTGATTACGACACAGTCTTATGAATTTGTTTGATATACCATCATATCCGCAGGAACCCTTATTCTTTAGTAATGAAATTATGCCAGAAATTTCTGCCGATGTAATTGGAATATTAACTATTTCAGGAACTTTGTCAGTAAGACTACTTATTGTTGATAACCGCTCATCCTCAGTTTTAGGAAATTGACTAATTAATTTCTCCACTGAATCTATAAAATAGGTATTAAAAACCCAGCTGCTTTATTAATTTATATTTTGATTTCACCATTTTTGAACTCCGCCAGAGCAGCTTTTCTTTTAGTTACACAAACAATTTCATTATTTATAATTTTCCAAGACATTTCAGATTTATTTGTGGATTTCGTTAGCATTTCATTATAGTACATCTCTTTAGCTTTTCTGATGACTCTTCTTAATATGGAACAGTAACGGGAGTAATACTCTCTTATTTTAAGGTGATGAATTAATCTACTTATTATGTAGAGGTATCTTTTACGTCTATATGACACTTTTATTCCACCAGTTATCCACCGATTTTTATGCCCCATATCCATCACAAATTGCATGGGGAAGCAGGATTAAAAAATGACTATAAATATGTTTAAGAATGCATTAAAACTTACATCTACCTCCTTACTACTAAGGGTCATCTCCCATGTTTCATTTTGTAGTGCCTCCATAAACATCATTACTCCATTCTTAGTTATTAACCTTTTTTTTAGCAGGTTTATTCTTATTCCATTGAGTTTCAAACACATTATTTATCACCAGATATTGTGCATCATGATCTGAGAGACCATTTTTTACAGAGTGCACATGGTAGGTATTTACTCTACTATAGTCCAAAAAAATATTATCAATGGCCATGCAGGATTCTTTTACAATCCTAGTTGGGAAGTAACAATATAAAACAAGTTATACGTTTGCATTAATGAACTTATTAGATGCACATTTCTCGAATCACATAAAAAATTTATATTAAAATCCCCATATAGTACGAGTATAATTTCGAACTTTGGCTTGTATAAAAACTTTAAAATCACGTCAACTTGTTTTATAAATTCTTGTACATTACCACTGGGCGATTGATAGATACCCACAAACATAATTGCATTGCTACCCGCTTTCATATGTATTGCACAGGCCTCAATAACCTTTTCAACACGGTATTTTGAAATATCTATTACATTGCAAGTAAAGTCATTTATACAATAAATCCCAACACCACCACCAGTATTATGTTTATACAAAAAACTCGTAGCCAAATAATAGTTATCAATTTTTTGTCATTGAAGGTTTATGGTCATCCAAATAATGTTCAGTAAGACATAATGTGTGGACATATTTCCATACTATGAAGCATACAGGTCAATTCATCCATTTTGATTTGCAGTCCTCTTACGTTCTGGTGAAATACTTTTAATGAATTATATATATCAAGCTTGTGTTTCATTTTATCTGCTTGTTGTCTAATAGATTTACTTTGGAGAGTATATTCCTTATTTTGATTAGATACAGTTACCATAAAAAAATCCTGTGTGTTTGCTGGTGGCTTTCTTTGTCTCTTATTTAAGATAGGTTGTTTCTCTTGATGTGTTTCTAACTCCACAGATGGAAAAGTTAGGTGATTCTCAGAGATATTATATACTCTATTTTTTATCTTGTTACTCTTATTCTGTTTCTGAGACTTCTTCCAAGCTAAGGGTATGACAGTCTGTTCTCTTCTAATTGCTTGTGCTTTAATATAAGCTACTAATTGTCTGACTGCATACTCCTTTCCTTTAGCATTTAAATGTAGACCATGCCTGGTATAAAATTTCCTGTCGTATATAACCTCCATAAAATGTGCATGTTTAAACAACATAAAATATTTACTTAATTTTCTATTAAATTTCACCACTTCTTCATTTACACACGAATACTCTTCTAAGTCCCATCTCTTTGGTAAATTCAAATACATTCGTATTTGTATGAATTTACAGACACCTGGTATATTGATTTTTGCTAACATCACTTGTACCACCCCAAATAATTAAGATATCCTTTTTAGTTAGTTTCTTACATTCTTTTACATTAGAGGTCAAAATAACTTCTAAATCTGCTCCTGGTTTCGAAAGTCCTTGCACCACATAACTTTTATGCAAATTATATTGTATTTCACTTGCCATTCCTTTAACATGGCTATCACCTACAATTAAAATTTTATTCAACGGCCAATCCCTTCCTTGGAAAAGCTTGTGGGCTGTCTGCGGAATCACATCTTTACCCAGCCACACACATCTTCATCCGATGCAAACAGATGTCCATGAATGTCTCTCTTCGGGTCTCCAAAAATGTGAGAATCACATGGGGAGAGATTTGGGCTGTAGGGGGGATGTTGAAGCACTTCCCAACCAAATCTCTGTAGCGTATTCCTCACAAAGTTGGCAGTGTGGGGTGGCGCATTATCATGAAAAATGATAATGCCGTTCAATATCATTCCAGGGCATTTTGACTTTATGGCACGTCTCAGTCTCTGCAAAGTGTCTTCATAGTGCTGAGCCCCACTGTGGCCCAGTGCTCGAGCAATTCGACAAGCAGAGGGCCCTTGCAGTCGAAGAAGAACGTCATCATCACTTTACCGGAACTTGTGTGTACGGCTTTGGATTTCTTCAGTGGGGGAGAATTCACATGTTTCCACTGTTGGAAACAGTGCTCTTGGGTTCAAAATGGTGGCACCAGTGACCCAGTGATGCAGCCATTCTCTGAGTCTTCTGGTCCTCCATGAGTTTATGTGGAACCCACTGCGTGCACATTTTGCAGTACAGCAGATGTTTTGGCACAATGGCGTGTACAGAACTGTGACTTATTCCCATCAAAAGACTAATTTCTTCCACAGTGATCCATCGGTTTGCTCGGATATGCCCATCCAACATAGCAATAGAATCAGGAGTGATGACCCAATGAACCTGTCCTGGGCGAGCATCATCTTGCAGTGACACACGTCCCTCTCGGAAACTCTTATGCCATGCCAGCACACACGAACGTGACATGCTGCGTTACCCGTAAACAACAGACATGTGATGATGAATTTCTCGTCCTCATACTCCTTCAGCAGTCAAAAAGCGCACTACACTTCGCTGTTCTTCTTTACCCACCTCCATTACTCATGTTGGACGACCACACGTAGCACAACCTTACTTCCAGCACAATAAACAAACAACTACTCTGAGTATTGTATTTTACCCTATTCAGACCTAAGGCTTGATTTACTTATACCTCTGTTAATTCTATTGTCTATTGATGCGAACAAAATGGAAAAACTCCAGCAGAAGTTTCCAGCCTTTCTTTTTTACTTCTTTCTTTCCCAATGTTATACACATATGCTTTGCAGTACTTAAAACTGAACTACTCCTTTAGAAGGAGTTATAACCTTGAAATACTGTTCCTTTTTCAAGTTCACCTTGTTTCCAAATTCTCTTTTCCCTTTTTGAGAAATGTTAGTCTTCAAGTTCTTGCTGCATACTCACTCATACATCAGTTATTTCTGGTATATGCACTTCAGCTGATAATGTTGTTTTAAGGACACTGATATATTTGGAACCAAAACGGTTTCACTTAATCATATTTTTATAATGGTTCTTTAGTAACTATTAAAATATTATTGTATCTAATATAAACATATGTATTTTCTTTCTTACAGGATAACAACTGTCATGACTGTTCTAATGGAACTGTTAATATGTCTAAATAATACAAGGTGGCATATTTCATATTTTGCTTTTTTTGTTTGTATGTGTTTGTTCGTTTTCTTTTTCCTGGTTTCTTTATACTTGGCTTCTTTGCTGTTGAGTAAGAATTTAAATAAAAAAAAATTAATGCTATTCTGTAACAGACCGTGGAGGCCCACAGGGTTGTGTGATGTTGAGGCTCCGACATTTTCTAGACAATTGGCTCACAGATGGCAGTGAAGTTGTCAGCCTTACAAGCTGGCCATCCTTCTCCACCCAGGAAAATTCCTGGTACTCATTTCTGTTAGAGGCATTGTCAACTCTTGGGGCCATATTGCAGCTGGAAGGATTAGGTCAATTGAAAAATCCAATAACTTCACTGGGAATCGAATCTGTGACCTTCCTTGCTTGCAGCATAATGCCTCAACCAACTATGCTGCTGCGTGCCCCTGACACTCAAGTAAATATAGAATTTAATTCAATTCTAGCCTTTTTGTAATTAAACCTTAAGATTCAATGCAGTCCACCGTGGACACATGAATTTGCTCATGTGAATTACCATCTTGGAAACTGGACAGCAGCAGGAAACAATTAACAACATTTGACAAGGTGTGTGTTTTTCTAGATATAATTCTGTATTTCAGCATTCTGCTGCACATCTTTATTAACCGTCTATGTATTTAGTCCAGCAATAATGCAACAGTCATTAAATTATTCACCATTCAACACCATCAAAACACCTGAGGTTGGCCATCTGTGGCCGAAACGTGCCAAAAAAAGGTGTTGGTGTTGAATGGTGAATATTTTAATGATTGTTGCATTATTGACAGACTAAATACATAGACCTTTCTAGATATATCTGCTTCATAAGTAGTAAGATTACGCACTTGGTGTTCCAGTATATCTTGGTGGTGACGATGTAGGAGCTGCGTTTCCATCCACGCCGTTGCAAGATACGGCCCAGTTCAAGCTCGGCACGCACTCCGCTGTATGCCTCAGACAAGTCAAACACATTTATCCCACTGTCATACGCCAACTGGATCACCTCTTCAGCCTGCTCCTCCTTCACACCGCTCCCGAACGTGACCCACGTCCCTGCGGAACGATTCGAACCAACATTAGATTCATAATATTACTTTCAGTGTCAGTGCTTCGATACTTGACGTTACACTAATTAACTAACGAACTTTCTTGAGAAGCCACTAGCTACTGAAATACTTAAGAATTTCTCAATAATTTATGGAAGCCGAAGGTTCATTACTGTGTTCACTAGCGCCTGCTGCCGGTTCTTATACTAAGCCAGATCAATCCAGTCCAAAGCACATCCGATTTCCCTAAGATCCACCTTCATATTTTCCTCACACCTACATCTAGTTCTTTCTAGTTGTCTTTCTTCTTGATTTCATACGAAAACCTTGTATGCATTGGTCTTCTTTCATATTCATGTGAAAGTCCCTGTCCATCTCATCTTCATTGACTTAATCACTTTCATGGTACAACCAACACATCCACAGTTTCTGACCTGTGATTACAAAATAAATTATTGCTGTGTAGTGACATAGTATAAAACTTCTGAAGGGTCGATGATTGGCTTCCTCTTTACAGAGATGGTCATCAGTTACACACAAAAAACAAATTTTGCTAATATGAAGTATACCTACTGTGGTGGAGATATTAACTTCACTTTAAACAGATCTTGAAACAGAATTATGAATTATAATTTATATTATCATGTATGAGGGGTTAGGGTGACAAATAATAACAGGTTATGGATTGGATGATTGGATTTATTGGTACTTCTTTACAATTAAAATCAATGGTTACAGTTCACAATGAATGACTGCCTGAGACTCGCTCCATTCCTTAATGGACTATGAGTGTCTTCTCTTCTACTGTGACTGGCCTGGTTCATATTTACGAAACGGTCGCTTTTTCAGCTTCTGCTGGTTAACACTCCACAGCTAAACACTCAACTTCTGATTTCTCTTATGACTCAATAAATCAAGTCAAAGTCAAAGTAACTTCACGACTGGCGGTTTACGGCCAATCCGTTCGTCTTGGCCTCAAGCCAAGCACTCCTCCTTTTACATATAGTCTAGCACGTATCCATAGAAAATGTATGTTGCTGGCGCGTATCCGTGGAAACCTTTGTTGAATCTGTTGATACAGAAAGCGTGATCCGTACCAAGTCGGTTTCCACGAATCCGCATCTCCATAGAAACGTGTGTTAGCGAGCTGTTGCCTAGCAATGGACTATTCCAGCTTTCAGGCGTCGTGTCACAATATTTACTAACAAATATCTCTTCTTGAGATTCTGGCACGAAGGATATGGGGGGGGTTAATTTTTCCGTAATAGAGAGCCCCATGCAAGAGGCAACTCCAGGATCGAATGTTACCTTCATCTAAATGAAATAGGGTGTTACACGCATGCGCACTCTGCATGCAACATAAATTAACTTGTTGAAGAGTGTCTGTACTTGACATACAACTATTCGTAACAGGAAAACAGAGAAAAATGTGGGTACGTGCTGTATAAAGTATTCGTGTTGTCTAAAATATTGTCACGTGTAGGGGAGGGTACGCGTGACGAAATGACGAGTTCTAGATCGGAAGATTGGACTTATTAGCACCTTGGTTACAATTTATTTTAATTACACTGAAATACATGCAATACAGCACCATCACTGATTTACACACATTCCAGCTCACCGTTGCGCACGCGCTAGTCTCTACCAGTCGACTCCTAGCACTGGATCTTGGCACAGAAACCAGCACTCAGATCACTACAAGTATTACACTAAGATCTTCCAATTATACTTCCAGTATCACTGCACCGTCGCACACATAAAGTCTTCTAAACCAAACGTTCAGGTCTTCCTCCTCCCTAGGCTGTCTCGCACTAACTCCGAGAACTGACTAAGTCTAACTAGTCCAAGTCCAAGTCACATTGCGACTGACGGTCCGTCAGTCTGTCTGTCTTGGTGTCGAGCCCCGGCTGGGGCTCATGACCAGATTTTTTTTCCTTATTTCTTATATGAAGGTTACTGTCCTGTTCATTTTGGGGAGCCCTCTCTGACGAGAGGTCGGGTCTGTCATTTGTCAGTCATAGTCCGTATTAGTAAGTCCATTGTCAGTATTTACAATATTTAGTCTTAGTCCAAGTCCAAGTCCAAGTCTGTCTGCCTTGGTGTCGAACCCCGGCTGGGGCTCATGACCAGATTTTTTTCCCCCTTTTTTTTATATGAAAGTTACTCACCTGTCCATTTTGGGCGCCCTCTCTAACGAGAGGTCGGGTCTGTCATTTGTCAGTCATAGTCTGAGTTAATAAGTCCACTGTCAGTATTTACATAAATTTACAAATGTAATCTTAATTCCTATTTCTATGTAAAATATATACAAGGCCTCTGTCAATCCAGGCTCAGTACAGCAGATTTTGCCCTATTTCTACAAGTATTCGCTCTTCAACGGACTGTCGTTATAAAGCTTCCGCACTGACCACGCAGAAAACAGCCTATATTGTTGGAGCGTGTTTCCCGAACGATTGCATAGCAACGGTTGCGGCACGGACTCCATAGAAGGCCAGTTACGTGATAGTTACCACTGTTGGGTGACGTCAAAGCTTAGCGTGGAAAGGTGTTTACCGAGCGTTGCGTAGCAACGGCCTGGGTGGGGGTACGAGAAGTCACTTGCGGAAACGCAGAAGTCACGTTACCCTGTCTGACTGTTGCGCAATGCAAGCGTTCACAGAGCTGTCGCCTAGCAACGCGCCGATACAATCCGCAACTCTCCCGTTGCGCGCGTGCCCCGAGGCCTCTGTCGCTCAAAAGTTCCTGCATAGAGCAAATACGCCAGAATATTGTCACGTGATTGTGACCATAGACATAGTTTGGACTGGTAATCGGATTTATTTGACTCTGTAAACACAATTTGTGTCTACAATTTACAGGTCACTATCACATACAGAGTAGTGTTCTAAGACAGGGTCTTCACTGCGTTGCTTTGTCCCAACAGCGGACGTTCCTCTGCTCCCGGGCTCACGTCCTCGCAGGCTGGCGGCCATCTCACACCAAACTCTTATTCCTCTTAACTGCATCCTTAGGGCTCTCCTGAAATGACAGCTACTCCCCGTTTTATATATATATTCTCGGCACGGGCCGCACAGTTCTTCTATTGTTGCATGGCGTAGCTATATGCATGAACTGAACAGAAAACACCGCTTCCCACAGTTACTTCACCGTTGCGTGTCAAATAGCAATAGCTGTTTCTCTGTCTCCACAGTTCTTGCTTTGAGCAAAAACGCCACAGCACGTTTACAGCCGCACATAATATTCTTATACAGGTTGTGTGAAGATTAGCAAATTACAGAGTCGAGCCAGACACATTTTCTGAAGCGTCCATTGTGATTACTATAGGATTCTGACGATGGTGTATAACACACAGAGATATTGGGTTTTCGGACTTTATCCATCGTCCTGGTTTTTAAGATAACTAAGAAAAAACACCACGTTTCGGAAACTGGATCTGTTTCCGTCCTCAGCTAAAGGAAAACACCTATTCTGTTGGGTCCGTTAGAAAGAGCTAGCCTCAATCAATGGGCCTCAATCACTCAATCACAGTGATTGAGGCTAGCTCTTTCTAACGGACCCAACAGAATATGTGTTTTCCTTTACCTGAGGACGGAAACAGATCCAGTTTCCGAAACGTCGTGTTTTTATTAGTTATCTTAAAAACCAGGACGATGGATAAAGTCCGAAAACCCAATATATCAGCGTCCATTGTGAATTTGCTTCTCCTTGTGGTTCCGCTGTTCATGTGTTGCAGACGCAAATCACATTGCCGTGCAGATCTTACCCATATTGTGCTGGATTCCTGTGCCGGAAATGGAAACTGCACAGCACCGTACGCACCCGCTGCTGACTGCGACGGTCCAGAGTTCGCGGAAATGCTACTTTTCTCTGGAATGTTGTTAAACATTTCGGGACGAAGGTATAGGGAACGTGCAAATATTTTATGAACGACATAGCAATAACAGAAAACGCCTAATGTTGCGCTCTTGTGGCAGAAATAAGCGTTAATAATTCTACCGCTGAGCGACTTATGCCAGTCTGCTGTTGAGGGCAATATACACATAATTTGTCTGATGTATTTCCTTACACTATGTAGATCAAATAGAAAATATTTTAAATTAAAGTGAAGATAAATGTTGTTGACCTCGCGGGCCGCAGGAGGTTCGCGATGCTCTCTTTCCGTTCCCGAAGAGTCTGTTAACACCTTCCTCCTTTCTGACAAAAAACTTTAGGAGGAGATCTTACTATATATTTTGTGTAATTTTTCACTCGGTTTCACACGACATACAACAAAAGAAACAGAAAACCACTAAATTTTTGTGATTCAATGGTCGTAAGCAGAAAACCCGTGGGTGACTTGATTTGGTCTGTCACTTAGTTGATGTTTGTATCAGTACAATAGAAAACATACAGTCACGTGATAAGTACTATACACGAGTTTTGGATTGTTATTGAACAACGAACCATAATTACAATTACTTACTCTCTACTACTCTATTCACTCTCTACAATTTACTACAGCAAGCATTAATTCTTCTCATTCTCCTGTGTCTTCATCGGTCGTTGCTTGTTAACGGCTCCGAACTACGTAAACCCCTCCGCTTCCTTGTTCACCTCCTTACGGGTTACCGACCTTCCCACAGTTCCTCATGGCCGCAACTCCTGGCCACTGACTCCTAGCATCGTCAGGTCACCACTGGCTACCGCAGGCTAGCACTAGCTTCCAACTCTGAACGAACTCAAAGCCAAAGTTAAAATTATGTTACGACCGACTGTCAGTCGGCCTGTCTGTCTTGGCGTCAAGCACCCATTACTGACAGACAGTTGATGGTTTGTTGATGTGGGGTGCCCTCTCTGACGAGAGGACAGGTCTGTCGTTTACAATTTCTGCTGGCCTCGCCAGTACAGTTATTCTCGGGTCCTATGCCCGCGGGACTCATTACCATATTTTATTGTCTCAGATTCGAGACTTCGCCAACCTGGAGGGCCAGGTCCCTGTATTTATGTCCCCCAGGAACAAGGTGGCCCAGTTGCACCCCTAAGCACTGGGTTCCATTTTCGTAGCCTCCTACGACTGGCAGGCAGGGCTACGGTGGAGATATTCCAACCCGCCTCCACACGGGGCCAGAATTAAAAAGTCGAATTCAAAATTATTTTACGACTGGCGGTTTATGCTAATCAGTTCGCCTTGGCGCCACGCTCATTGAGGTTCACGAATACAGATTTTTTTGCAACTGAAACCTTGTGCTCAAAGTCAAAGCCAAAGTCACATTGCGACTAACGGTCGGTCGGTCGGTCAATCAGTAAGTCTTGGTGTCGAGCCCCATCTGGGGCCCATGACCAGATATTTATTACTATTTGAGAGTTACGGTTTTGTTTCTGTGGGGCTCCCTCTCTAACGAAAGGACGGGTCTGTCTTTTGTATATGCTGCTGGCCCTTGCCAGCGCAGTCTTTCTCGGGTCCGAGTCCCTTGGAACTCGCGACCATATTTTACTATCTCAGATTTGAGTCTTTCCTTTTCGTCACCTCCTACGAATCGCAGGGTCACGGTGGAGGTGTTCGACCCCGCCTCCACAGGGTTAGCTCCAATCACCTTGCGCTCACAGTTAGGTCCCTGGTATATAGCCTCGGCACGGACATAACAGGGAACACCGTCTCCAACAGTTCCGCTATTATTGCTTGTGCATCTGTTGTGCCGGTCACGTGATTTGGTTGGCAATAAGACGTGTGTACAGAGCCATGCCTAGCAACGGCTCCATAATTGTGGCTTTGAGCCCTCATGTCACAATATTCTTCTTACAGTCTTACAGTGACTTGAAATGGACATAGTTGGTTTCCATTCTCACCGTGTTCCCTTTCGGTACACACCGTTGTGTTCTAAACGCCACGTCTAACTGCTGCTGGTGGGTTGCGGCTACAGCCTGCTTGACTCTTCTCACCCATCCTCCTTACCACCTCCTCTTCTGGTTGTCAGGTAATTAGTAAAGGGTTGGGCGCCAGTAAACTTATGGAATTCGTTTACAAATTTTATGGAAGAAAGAGGGGATGCTGTTGCTGGGGTGCTAGTTCAAGCGGCAGAGCTAAGAATCAGTCTCAGGTCGTTTAACTGGGCCTCGCTCACGTAGGGGGAGGGGAACTCTCGAAAATTCACGCACACACAACACATTCACAAGCCACTTTATTGCAACGGCTGTCGATAGTGAACACCGCCAATGAACTGGATTGAACTTGCTCTCTTTATTCAAGAATCGCTCTGCTGGTCGTTAAAGTGCTTATATGGCAGCATGGCTAGTCGGTAGGTATCTACACTCACAGTTTAACCAGTCACTTATGCTGTAACTTCGAATTTCTAACAGAATTTATAGCCACAAGTGGGTGGGACCGATTTTACGTCCGAACAGTTGGTGGGCTGGGATGTAACGCACTTAAGAGAATGACTTCTCCTCAAAACTCGAAGTACTGACTGTTTCATATCGACCCACAATCCAACTGCTTAAATTTCGAGGATTGGTCAAATCTGAACAAGAGGAATTCAAGGGAATTTGAACTATAAAGACAACGTAACTTTTGACAGTAGCTTGACAAATACTCAGCTTGGCGTGGGTTCCGGGCCATCCAACTTTTAAGTTACGAGTTATAGGACCTGTCAGATCGTGTTTCCAAAGAATTCCGACAAGCAAAATTTTGAGCAGAATTCCTAGAAAATGCCGTGGGGGTCGTTCCTGTCTCTCTTTTGTAGCTGGGTTAACGAGCCGCTTTCTTAAATTCAAGAATCAGACTAAGCAGCATTCTTGAGAGTAAGATTTGGCCTATGTCCCTCTTGGCTAATTATTGTTCATACAAGTAAATATCATCTAGCAAGGTGATTAACACTAGTAAATACATGTTCTTAATTTAAAACTGGGATGTGGTTGACAGTACGGTTACAACATTTTAAAGTGATGGGCGTGTACACGTCATAACATGAATTGTTTTTGAGTAACATGGCATGCTCGAACTGATATCTTGAACCGACAGCAACGAACATTAAATAGGCCCGACAAATTCTGGTGTGCACAGGATTCACTGGCTTTGGTGATGAAACGTGATGACGGAACAGACAAGACCTTTCAATTAGAAGTTCATTTTATGCTCTTCGCGCAAAAAAAATGCTTCTGCTTACCAAGGCCCACGTTCGACACCCTGAGACCGCTCTTGCCGAGATTCCTGTACCTCAGGCCAGGCGTGACGGATGACTGTCGTGAAATAAGGGGGCCGTGGTTCGACGCCGTGAGGGGCGTTTGTTGCGACAGGCTCTGCAGGAGTTGCTCTTTCGTCTGTGGCGTGCCTTGGGTTAGATGCTCGTTCGTACTCTGGAACTCCTCCATGCAGTCCAGACTGGCAATTGGCGCTCTGCAACTGCAACACAATGCAGACATCAACTCACTAACTCAGCGAGACTGTAAGCCTCCTCACGACGGTCTGTCTCCCTTTATCTCTTCCACGCCAAAACAATCTCGCTAATGATGTTTCGTGAACATCAAGAACATCGCAGTGAATTGAAATATGCGGATGGTACCTGTTCAGTGACGGAACATACCTCTTTCAGAAGCGTTAGCTAGATATCGAGGTGGATGGAAGCCATATTGTACGAGCATGCATACTAATTAAAATGTGTTGTAAGTGACCTCGGCGGTTTCGACATCTGAACTCTGTGAATTGGAACCTCGGAGCAAATCACTTACGGTAACAGGCCGCGTACAGTATATTCAAACCAAAATGAAACGTCACGATGATATGCAACGGAAGAAAGTCGAATTTACTATACTGCACATCAGTAAATAAACTGACAATACAGAGAATATTAGTTAATTTTATCTTCTTCACAACTGTCTTTAGTCACCTTCTATTCATCCATTCCTGATAGAACTTTGCTAACCAAGACGCGACACGATCCACTACTATTGTCTCTGTTGACCACTCCATTGTCTTTAATCGTAACACTTCAACAGCAGCATCTTCGGTTATGCCTTCTTTCTCACAGTAAATCTCATGTGGATCTTCGCTATGCTGACACAATTCTCCCTTCCTGTTGCTCCGTGATTCGATTCTCTGGCGAAGCACTTGTTCGGCTTCCTTAATTCCAAATGCTGTGTTGCTGCTTGCAACCCATTGATTTTACATCTGGCCAAATAAATTCAGTGCGGTTAGAATGGTGGCATGTCCTTTTTCTGCAAAAATCTGGCAAATTTGATTACATCGTACAGCTGAGCTTTCAGCACGTTATCGTGAAACGGAATATTTCTGTACAAAACCCAGGCGGTCATTTCGTCCTTCTATATCTTAGATATGGACGGGTTTTCTGTGTGAATGTTTTGCTGCGGGATTTTTCCATGGCCCAGAATTCAGTTTGGTGGTAAAATTTGTATTACCGTTGCTTTTAAAAAGCGGCCATAATGTTTCCCGCCAATTTCATTGCGATTAGCAGCGGGTTTCTGCATAGGTTTTTATATGAAAAGCGCTTTTGAAATAAAGCCCTCTGTTCCTCTCTCATGAACGATGCTAAGTCTCCCTCTTCTTGATGATGACGCCAACAAACCGGAATCAACATCATCAGTCAAATACTCCGGCCTCACCACGTCTTTTGAATGTGACGGGGCGTCCATCGGCTTTGTACTTCCAGAGTGCAGTCAGAAACGATGCCCTCATAGACCGTACATCCCAAACATTTCTTCTGAGGCTCAAATAGCTTCCTTTAACATCGATGCTCTCTTTGAATTTTACCAGTAATATAGAAACCGTCAGAACGGTTCCCTCGTGCGCACAGACCTTACGGATGGTCCATAGAACATAATCATCAAAGTTGTCTACTTCATCTGTTCATTTAGATATGTTATGCTTGTTGCCCGGCGTTGCAAATAAAATGTCTTGTTCCTCGTGTTCTTGTCTTGAGTTCTGAATTCTTCTGAATGTCATTTAGGACACCTCAAGCTGCTTATGCCGCTCCTTTCTGCACTTATTTTTTATTTGTTCGGAGTATACTGGCATCGCTTTGTCTTTACTTATTGTCTCTCTTTCTATAAGTCGTAAGAGCTCATAAGAATTTCACGGTTCTGACTATCTAACGTTCAGAGGGCCGCGCCATAGCTCAAGCGGTTAATCGCTGGCTTCCCACTGCGGTGGCCCGGGTTCGATCCCGGGTCTGGTCAAGTGGGATTTGTGGGGGACAAAGTGGCGCTGGGGCAGGTTTTCTCCGAGTACTTCGGTTTCCCCTGCCAATCGTCATTCCACCAATTGCTCCACAATCACCCTCACCTATCATCTGGGGCTGGTAGAAGTGGCCGCAGTACGAGGGACTTAGTCCCACCCCACTAGCAATAAAAAAAAACATAATCTCGCCAGAGAGTATGTTACATACAAGTACTAATACAGCACGGGCTCAGTTGAAAAAAGATCTCTGGTTGAGAGTCTCATGGGGCTTGACGCCAAGACAAACTGATTGCCGGTAAACCGCCAGTCGTAGAGTGACTCTGACTCTGATTCTGGCTCAGTCTTTAAAGGGTTAACATTCCCATCGGCCGCTACTGTTCCTGCTCTATCCTCTTGCAGAGTCCCGTCACACTGTCTCGAACCCAATGGGACAGTCTGGTACCCAGAGCCCAGACTGGGTTCATAGATGTTGGTGAGGTTGTCAGCCTTACGCACCAAGCTATCCCTGTAAGAGTCAGTAGAGGCCTATAGGGTTGTGAGACGTCGAGGTTACAACATTTTCCAGACAGTTGGCTCACCGATGGCGATGAGGTTGTCAACCTTACGCGCCTGCCGCCCTTTACCCCTAGCAAGATTCCTGATACTCATTCCTGTTAGAGGCTGGGTCGACCCTAGGGCCATGGTGCGGCTGGAAGGATTAGTTAAATTGATAAATCCCAGAACCTCTTTGGGAACTGAGACCGCGACGTTCCGGCTTGTAGCATAGTGCCCCAACCAACTACTGAGGTATATAACTCTTAAAACACTGTAGCAGCTGTGCACCAGAAACGACAAGGAGACGCCGCCGCACAGGAACCGGGCACTGCGCGGCGTGGCGTGTGGCCAGCTGCATATACACTGGACGCATAAGGAGCCGGACGAACACCGACGGCAGGCGGCTAAAAATACCGCGTCCTTACTTACACTCTCACCTACAGTTGCAGACCAGAAGGAACACTGAGCTGCCCAAGCGTGGAGCTTTGCTAGTCCTGCACTTCCGAATGGGTTTCTCTTCATATCAGCTACCTTAATGATTTCTGCGAATGACTCCAACGAGACCGTTGCGCTTATACTAATTGACTGGACGCTTCCTTGCTTACAGGGAAGTACAGGCTTGTGTTCATGGGCACCACAGTTTATTATCACTGAGATGCTGGCAGCAATAAGAGCAAGGCGGATATAACTAATATGACAGCATGTGGATCTGTTGCTAAGTAATGGCTCTGTAAAATCGGCCGTTGCTAGGCAATGGCCTAGTAGCAATCACGTTGGTAACCAAACTGACACGAACGCAACAGAGGAACGTGTTTACTATGTGATCCGTGCCGAGTTGTTTGAAACAGGACAGTTAGTGACAGTTAGTGGAGTGGAGTGAGTTGGTGGGTGAGTGAGTGAGTTGGTGGGTGGGTGGGTGAGTGAGTGAGTTGGTGAGTGAGTGAGTGAGTGAGTTGGTGAGTGAGTTGGTGAGTGAGTTGGTGAGTGAGTGAGTGAGTGAGTGAGTGAGTGAGTTGGTGAGTGAGTGAGTGAGTTGGTGAGTGAGTGAGTGAGTGAGATATAGAGCTGCTAAGGTCCTTGTAAGCCGTTATCAGAAGCTGGTAGCTGAGGTATGGAGATAGCTCGGGAACCAAGAGTAAGGAGAACGTCCGCCACTGGAAGCCGTTACCAGACAACGACTGGTGAATTTGCAGAGTATGATAATTAGCAATAGCACTATAATTACGAGTTGTGTGTATAAGTGTACAATAAATCCGATTACCAATCCAAACATTCCTCCCTTGCTATGCAACAGTTTCTTTCGATGTAAAGAGACGACAGTAAAATGGATTTAGCACGGCTGTAAAGTGTTAACTTCCTGAGACTCTCCCGCGTGACTGCATATAAACTTGCATCTAAATTCCCGTACCTTTCGGCCAGCTAAAGTTTCGTGTGTCTGCTGGAGTAGGGATGGACTCCTAGGCAAGAAAACAAACTTGGTTTCATAAGAAAATGGGCTAAGCAAATATAGAAGATCAAATTATGCCAGGAAGCAAATTTCAAATTCATTTTTTATGAATATCTGTACATCGCAGTCAAGATTATTAAACTCACAAGTTCATTTGAAAATATCGTACATAACTCACGGGATTATAATCCTTAGCGTAGAGCGCTTTCAGCGACTCCGAGTGATAAGGTTGCTTGTATGTCACTATCGCCATCTCATTTCCTTTATGCCAAATAGAATCAATTAGATTGTGGATCTTAGAATGTAATACTTCACCTCCTGCCTGAATAAGTTCTGCCGGAATTTGAACACTACCTGGCGATTTATACCGTTTCCATTTTGCAATAGCACTTTCAAACTCAAAAGGGCTAGGATCAGGTACTAACGACTCAGCTGTATGGATTTCTGTCTGCCTAACAGCACTGACCCTATGTACATTCAATAACTGAGAGAAGTAGTTCCTCCACCTATTCAAAATGTTGTGGGAATCTGCAAGCAGATCACCATTCTCATCCTTCACTAAGTAACTGCTAGGTTGGTAACCCCTCTTAAAGTCATTTATTCCTCTATACAGGTCTCTTATATTCTTGTTTTCACTGTTCATTTTAAGCTCATCAAGTTTGTCTTTCAGATATTCCCTCTTTTTGTTCCTGAAATGCCTACTGGTTTCACGTCTTATATTGTTCAGATTATCCCCATTTAACTCTCTTGGATCCTGTACCCATTGCAATTTGGCTTGTTTTCTTTGATCTAATAATTCTGAGCATCCTTCATCGAACCATGGCTTATGCTTCTTCGGTTCATAATAACCTAGACTCTCTTTGGCAGACATTTTTATATTCTCTCTAATAGTTTCCCAAGCTTTATTAAGATCCACCTCAGTTTCCAAGTGTTCCAAAGCCGTGAACCTATTTGAGATTTCAACACAATACAGCTCTTTACCCTCTACCTCATTTAATTTCTTGAGATTGAACCTCTCCATATGAACTCTGTGCACTGTTTGTTTGCTCACTGTCAGTCTTTCCCTAACCTTTGCCACCACCAGGTAGTGGTCAATATCACAATCTGCTGCCCTGAATGATCGGACATCAAGTATGCTTGAGTGCCGTCTCCTATCTATCAAAATATGGTCTATCTGATTGTGTATCTTCCCATCAGGAGATGTCCAAGTAAATTTATGGATGTTATG